GTGTCGGCCTGCAGCAATGCACATCCGATGGCGTAATCGGAGGCATTGCAGACGACGCTAAACGGCTTCGTCTCATCCGGCAGGGCCAGGACAGGGGCATATTGGAGACCGGCCTTGATGCTGTCAAAAGCATCCTGGTGCTCTTGCTCCCAGCGCCAGTCGACGTCCTTTTGAAGAAGGCTCGACAAGGGCTTAGCGAAGCCCGCGTACCCTGCGCTGTTCTTGTGAAGGTAGTTGGCCAAGCTCAACCACTTTCGAGGATCCTTCTGGGATCGGGGCGTCGGCCATGCTGCTATGGCCTTGACCTTGTCTGGGTCAGCCCGAACGCCCACGTTGCTTACGAAGCAACCGAGAACTTTAATCTCTGGTGACGCGAAAACGCACTTGTCGATGTTGGCGTAGAGCTTGTTTGCTCGCATTACGTCCAACACTCGACGGAGGTGTCCTAGATGCACCTCCATGGACGTCTCGCCTCCCTTGGCACGGCTATGGACGAATATGTCGTCGAAGTACGTCTGTACGAAGGTACGCAAAGGGCGGAACAATTGCGTCACCGGGCGATTGAACGTCGCCGGGGCGTTAGACAAGCCCTGCGGCATGACGAGCCACTCCCAAAGCATGCCGCGTGGAGTGCTTACCGCGGTGAGCGGGATGTCACTCTCCCGCATTAGGATCTGGTAGTATCCGTCTACCAAATCCAGCGCACTGTACAGTACGCTCCCGGTCATGTTGTTTAACAACACATCCTTTCGTGGGATTGGTGTTTGGGTCGACACCGCTGCGTTGTTCGGCTTGTTATAAGCGTGAACCAGACGTCACTTTCCGTTCGGCTTCCGAACGCAGAAAGTCGGCGTCGAGTGCGGGGATTTTGACTCCCGCACCATGCCTGCCTTCGCTTTCGCGGCGAAGAAGGCATCAATGACCTCGCGCTGTTCGCGCGGGAGAGGACATTGCCTCGTGACACAATACTTTGTGCCGGGCACATGATCAATCTCGTGCCGTACGCCTCGATCCGGTGGGAGTTAGGTCGGTGGGTGTTTGTTCACCACGTCCGCATACTCCGTCACCAAAGGATACACCGGATCCTTGGGGTTCTTAAGGATCTCATAGCCCAATCGCGTCTGACGCTGCTTGTTTAGGTCTTCCATGACGTTCTCGTCCAAGACTGAGGAGGAGTTCAGCTCCTCCCGAGTGGTCTCAGGTCTCATGAGCACCATCTCAGCAATCTCTCCAGCCTTGAGGTTGGCCAGGAAAGACTCAGCCGTCATTTCCTCGAGGTTCAGTATCTCTGCAACCTCCGGCAATGGTTCCAAGTGGACACCAGATGCCTTGACGGGTAAACCGGTCTTGTCATCGAAGATGTGATAGCACTCTTCCACCGGCCTTGTCGGAGGAGCCCGAGCCCTGGACTCCGAGTCGCTTGAAGCGACGTTGATCGGAACGAAGTTCGGATCCGACTTGAGGCGGCGGCGGTGTCTTTGCCGACGGCGTCTGTGACGGGGAGCTATGCTGCCCACGTCTAGGGATGTCGTCGCTACGACATCCGAGGCACTCGTGGCCTCGTGTGGTACTATGGTACCCACCCAGGAAGCGTGTTTGACGCCTTCCTCTTCAGTTAAGGTCTGGGCGACCGCGTGTGGCACTTTGTTACCCACACAGGAAGCGTATCCGACGTCTTCCTCTTCAGTTAAGGTCTGGGCGACCGTGTGTGGAACTCTGTTACCCACTCTGAACACGCTGTTCTCGGTGTTCATGACAGCTGCAGCTGTCTGCGGAACTAAGTTACCCGCTTGTGGACCTAAGTTACGCCTTTGGCCAGCGCCTCTTCTGGGCGCTGCCACCATCAAAACATCCTCGGAGTCGTCATATAAGTCGACACGTCCCAAGCATCTGCCGGATGGTTTGGTACCCTGGCAACCCTTGCGGGCGCCCCGGGTCCTGACAGAGGTGGGAACATGACTCACCAATGCTCTGTCGGACGGCGCAGGGCGGCTGGCACCGATTGCCTTGCCTCGCCAGTCGATCCAGGGCTCGTGTTTCTCAAGCCAGGGCATGCCCAGGATCATGTCATATGGATTCATATCGAGAACAGTGAACTGTTCGAGGCTGTCAAAGTCTTCAAACTTGACGGCCATATCCACTTGGACTTTGGGGACAGTGACGACCTTCCCGTCGGCCAGTCGCACTAACACCATCCCGTTGCTATTGCTTTCTCTCAAAACATCGTACAACTTGTTGCTGCTACGAGCAACCGTCTGGCGGTGTGCGAGATTCTTCGACGCCCCAGAATCGATCAAGATTCTAAAGGGATGATCGTATCCCCGTACACATCCGTGTACTACGAGCAACCCGCCGCTGCTCTTCGCCGATTCGAGAGTGCGAAGACTCTCAGGGGCTAAGTCCCCGTGGTACGCGCCACCCGCGCACCCATCACGAAGACTTAGTTCTTCCCCAGTAGGGCGCCCCGCCCCTACTGGTTCCCTGCGTTCCCCTGTCCCCGGGATCCTGGCTTCTGCCAGCGACCCTTGAGGACGGGCTTGGGGAAGGACCGTCTGCGGAGTCTTTCCGCGGGACAGTCGCGCTTGAAGTGGCTCATCTTCCCGCAGCCGAAGCAGCGGATGTCACGCTGTTCGGCGGACCCGAGTTCCATGGGAACTGGTCCGTTGGGGCTTGTTCGACCGGGAGCCGACAAGGAACTCCCAGGCCACGCTGAGGCCGGCGTACGCGCCTGACGATAGCTGTACGCTTCTTGAAGAGCCACTTGAATCGCCTCTTCAAGGGTGCTTGACTGCACCCGGAACAGCTGAGTGCGTGCGGGGTCCACTCGAAGGCCGTCCATGAACACAGTCATCTTGATGTGTTCGTTGAGTGGGTTTCCCACTAGGGACGCCGTGAGCTCCCGTATCTCTTGCACGTACTCGTGCAGTTCACGCCTCTCTTGTTTACACGAGAGGAAGCGCGAACGCTGGCGGTACTCGTAGTTCGCCGGGAGGAACGCGGCTCGGAGCTGTTCACACAGCTGAGCCCAGGATGTGAAACATCCAGGGGATGTTGTTTCCCGTGTGTACACCCAACCCTTAGCACGACCGCTAAGGTTGGAGAGTGCAAAAGCAGCACGAATTTGCTCAGTCGAGATCAGAGCCGCGTCCATCGCAAGCTCTACTTCTCGGACCCGGAAGTGAAGGTTCTCGCCTTCCTTCCCTTCATTCGGCTTAACCTTCAGCCATATTGGCTTCGGGTGAGGCGGATTTGCTTCCGCCGCCGGAGCCTGCAGGTTCTCCCGCACATGCGCGATGAGGCCCTGCTCGTACGCGTCGACCGCATTGACGCGCTCGAGCTGCTCGGCCGGTGTTGACACCACAAGGCTCTGCAGAGTCTCCATCCCTGCCATCTTCCGAACCGACTCGAACTGAGAGTCGTTCATATGGGAGAAGTCGCTCATATCCATGGCAACGAACTTCGGAGAGGTTCAGGTAGTCTACCCGCGGTGGCGTGGATTGACACACAGCACCTTGCGCTAGAGAAAGTTATCTTCCGAGAATATACAAACTCTCAGTGAACGGCAGTTCACAGGTCCCCTCTTTATTCTAAAGAGAGCGAAGTTACCTAATTAAGGTAAAATGTAAACTGAGTATATTTATAGGTAGATAAAGCTTGGGTTTAATACAAACTATAAGTCACCTATAGAAATGCAATGTCGTTAACCAATGGTTGGCTTTGAACGACCTTGGTACTTTGTACCAAATATCCCGAAGTATGACGTGTCATACTCCTGAAGTGTGAAGTGTCACAATTCATGTAACCAGGGTACACTTAGGGCTACGTACCCCGTTACAGAGCCACTATTATCCCCCAGATCCATCGTCTGTCATCTCTTATTCCCGATCCACACCGTCGACCCATATAGGATACGTATCCAGGTATCTCCCCCTTGAACTACTAATCAACGTGTTCGCCCCGCATCACCCACCTCACCTGGAGGTTCAGAGTGATAGTCTCGGCCTTCGATCCACTTTACCTAGGCCTAATCCACTTTGAACTGTACGGATCCACGTCGAGCAATTCAGACCCATCCTAACCACCGGGTGGTGTCACTAATCTGTGATAATGACTCCTCCCAAGATGAGTTCGATTGTGAAGAGAACAATCAAATCCTCATTTTTTATTTTTCTATTAACTCGCTGTGTGGAATACATAACTTTTTGAGTGCACATATATTAGGTACAAATTAATCCTCGTTTTTGGTCTTCCCAATAGCTACCTACTTGTCTGGTCCCAAAAAGAATTAGCAGTTCTTTAAATCGAAGATAACTTCGGTCGTACAGCTCCTACGGAAGCGTGGCTGAGCTAGTTTGAAAGCTCTACTTTCGTAGCGTCAGCACGATTTTTTATAGGAACAAATTTCGCTCCAATTTTGCCGATACCTGACCATTTGAACAATCAATTTACGGAGGGGTGGAGAAAAATAATCAGAATTAAACTTTAAAATATGCTAGAAAAGCGCAAAGCACAATAATTTCAATTTATAAAGGTGCATTTTGAAGAGACGTTCGCGTCCAGCATGATCCATGGACAAGCTCGTACAGTTGCAAGCTGCTCTGCGAGTCATCGAGACTGGACAGCGACTCGAGTCTGTGGACGGTGTGCTGGTCCGACAAGTATTACAGCAGCGGCAAACTCAACGACGGCGATCAACGCGCGAACCAGACACGAAGGACCTGTACCGGGAGCTTCTGGCACTCCGAAAAAGTAAGGCAAACACAACTGCGAAGCAGAGAGGCCAACACGTCGATGTGAGGGATAAAAGTGAAGCTGCGAGCCTCGTAACAATAACGTCACCACCAAAGAAGCCTACTCAGACAGGTGTCTGTCGTAACGTATCGGTGGTTAAAACTAGGCTGGAGTCTCCTCCTTCGTTACCCGGGCGTGATACCACCTGCGATAATGACCAGGTCATAGCAGAAGAATTGGCTGCGTGTACAACGGAGACTTTTGGGTTGATGCAGAAAGCTCTCGTCACTCGAGAGAAGGAGTTGCGGCGCTCCGAGAAGGCCGTGACGCGTGCAGATGCTGAACTACGCGAGGAACTCGCACGCGCCGAGAAGATCCTGCCGTCCAAATTCCTCTTTGAACGAAACCTCGCTAGCAACCGACAGCTGGAGGCTGCACGGAGTGTGCTGTCTCGCTTTCAACATCGTTTCTTCCAGCTTTACTTCCGCCGTTGGTGGGGGATCATAGTAGAGCTGCGACTGCAAGCTCAACGTCGAGCAGTGGCGCACATCGTTCGCATTTACCGTGGACATCAAGCACGACGAGAAGCACGACGCCTACGTAAAGAACTTTGCACCATGGAAGCTCAAAAAAGGCAGCTTCTAGCTTTCAGGCTCAAATACCGCTCCAGTCAGGCTGTAAAACTTCAAATGGCGTGGCGTCGCTATCTTCGCCATCGTGCCATCAAGTACCGTCAAACACGACAGACTGCTGCTGTTCTGCTGCAGAGAGCGTTTCGTACAAGGCAATGGCGTAGCCAGTCGCTAGTGAATGCCCTTGTGAACACACGGAAGTTGTTCGCTGTTGTGAGCCTACAGAAGCTTTACCGAGGGCATCGGGAACGACGCAAATGGAGAGAGTTTCAACAAGGCCAGCGACAGGAAGAACGTGTTCGACTTGCACTACTACGAGGTATGTCCAAACAAGCACGTGCTGCGTGGATGATCGAGAGACGTGGAGCTGGGTATCTGATAGCTCATCGATCCATATTTCCTTTCGCTATGCGGATGCGATGGCATCGTTTACTTGACCAGCTAAGACGTCAATGTGCAGCCACGAGCATCAGCAAAGCCGTGTGCCACTGGTTCGGCGTTGAAGCGAAGCGTGAAGCTGCTCGGGTCAAGCAGATTAAGGAATGGATGGCACTTGTACAACGTGAACTTGAACGCTCGCGCTGTGCTGCTGTGCTCATCCAGAGGCACTTGCGGCGGTGGGTCGAGCAACGCAAGTTCCTTATGACCCAAGCTAGACACAAGAAACAAGCTAGACGGACTAGACTGGCAGAGAAATCGGGTCGGATAGAGCGAATGCAGCAGCGCACAAGCTCAGCGCGGTTCGTTTCGGACAAGAAAGTGCTTGAAGCAGGGAACTCACCTGTGCGAATCATACCGAGTAGCTCTCAACCTACTCGAATAATGACGCTACTGAAGCCGATGAAACTGAGAGAGAGCAACTCTAACACTGCTCACAATACTGACGCCAAAGCAGCAGTAACCATCCAATGCTTCTATCGCCGTTATCGCGTGAGGAAGCGAGCTAGATGCAGAAAGTGGAGAAATGACGCACGCAAAGTGGAGAATCGTGTTCTAACGAGACACAAAGCAGCTACGGACATCCAGCGACGTGTTCGAGGAATTCATGGCAGAAATGTGGCACGACAGCGTTTCGCTGAGCGACTGCTGCAGCGCTACCTTCTCCGATGGAAGCGGAGACGCATCCAAAAGCGCCGACGTGCTGCACGTAGAATTGGTCGCTGGCTCAAACACAAAAGAACGCAACGGCTCGCTAAACTTTGGCGCGTTGAGAAACAGACGCGGCTGGCGGCTTCCACGCGACTGCAGAAATGGTATCGTGCTCGCTGCTTGTTGCCGTCACACTTGAGACGTGTTCTACAGGTTGTTAGGAGACGAGAGGAGACGTTGGTCTTCTGCGACCAAAGCCTGCGGCTCTGCCGACAACACTTGGCCGATGGATTCGTAGTGCAGTCGTTCAACGTCAGTCTTGAAGACGCCCTGCGTCCGCTTCTCTTTGCCACGGCGTCAAGGTCTCCCACAAGACCCAGAGCATCGCCGACAAAGCCAACGATTGTGGCCTCTAGCGGTGGGAAGCGCCATTCCAGTGCGGTGGCATTCCCGATTCTTCAAATGATGTTTCTGATGGCAAGTGGCTGGAAATTGCCGTTCGTATGGCGCGAATTGGACGGGAAAACACTCTTGCAAACCAAACTGGAGCGGACTAAAGCTGTCTCGTTCTTCCGGTCGCTCGTTAAGCAAGGGAACCCCGTGGCGCATCGGCTCCAACAATCTTCTACCGTTGAGACCACCCCGTGCCCGACCCGTCGAAAGCAGAAGCCTGGTACTAAGGTAGCTAAAGGAGTCGAAACGTTTGCGTCCGTGGAGGTTGATGTGGCAGTGGCTCGATCCACTGGGGGAGCGAAAGGAGCTCTAGATTTCGCGTCGTTTGTGCGGGTGATCGAGCGACTGGGTGAGATTTCTCTGGCGCAGAACGCAGCTTTGTACTGGGGGCGCTTCGATGGCACTGAAGCGCGCATACTGGCGTTGTCATGGTACTCTCTGCTGTCTCACTCGTCGCTGCAGCCACTGGCACTTCAATTCGAAACGCTCGTCTCGGGTGAGTTGTCTCGCCACGCGTCGTGCCTCCAAGGGCTTTTTGCACGGCGACACTACAGGCTACGAGGTAAAATAATCCTTCTCGAAAGGAGGCGACATATACGCCACCAAGAACTCGCTCGTGCCGCTGTGGTGCTGCAAACTCAGGCTCGGAAGCTATTAGCACGACGCGAGCTGCGACGTCTTATGCAGGAAACGTACGAGAAGTTTTTGGATCCAACGTGGGGTTTGCCGTACTGGATGAATCCTCGATCGGGCTACTCGACATGGCAGAAACCGCCTATCCTAGGAGCTGGAGATGTTCACTGTGAGCCGGTGCCATTTCCTCCCCCTGAACGCACGTTGAAAGCCCCTTGTAATGGAAGGAAGGACTGCGACCGATGTGCTGAGTGGGTGTGCTACGACTGCAATGAGTGTTTCTGTCTTGTGTGCTTTGGGGGATACCACAAAGCTAAAGCCATCGCTAGCGTCGAGAGTATTGAGGCAGCGAATGATAGAGAAGATGCAACTACGCAGTCGTCCATCAAGCGCGACCACGAGCTGGAGCGTCTCCTGCTCTGCGGATTGTGTAGATTCCAGCTCGCTTCACGCCGTTGCCTTGAATGCATTCCGAAACCTAAGCCAAAGCCTCCAGTTAACCCTAATTCAGCAAGTTTGGGGAAGCCGAAGCAGCCGTCTAAGGAGATCAAATCGGCCAAAAGCACGTGCAACGACGACGAGGAGCAGTTTGGCGGAGAATCTCTGTTCTGCGACGTGTGTTTCGGGTTCTTGCATCGTCGTGGTGGACTCAAAGCTCACCGCCCGGAGCCTCTTTTGGAACTCTGCACATCTTGCATTCCAGACGGTGAAGACGACGCGGACACAGCTTCACGTCCGCCCTGTGCTGTCTTCGGAGTCCAAGGAGCTGGTGATGCCGTCCAGTGGGAATGTGAAGCGTGTGGGGATTCCCCTCGTCGAGTTTGTGGGAGCTGTGCTCTTCAGTCCCATCCAACGGAAAGTTGTGGAGAGCTTCGACCGGTGCCTCTACAAACGTTGGGCAGACAGCGGCGGACTCATCGTCTTCGAGAAGAACAAGAGGCTCGAGATCGTGCAGATCTGGATAAAATGCGTGCGAGAGTTTTACGAGCTCGCCAGGAGCGGTGTGCTCGAAAGATCCAGACCTTTTGGCGCTCTCAAGCTCCAATTCTTCGGGCCAGGCGTCTTGTGGCTGCTCGACGCAAAGAAACCAGCGAGCAGTGGCTGCATCGTCAAGAGGATGCTCGAGTAGCCAAGCGACTAGCCTTTCGGGCAAAGAATGCCTTGGGAATGGCTTCACCTCTGCATTCTGATACGCCAGTGGAGCGCCGGCTTCGTAGTTTACATGCCTTGGCACGTCGGCAATTGTCCATTCGTGCGAGGTTCTTTGGGTTGCTGATCGACGAGTATGCGAGTGTGGGGATCCCGTTGCCAGGACTCGGTCTGCTTCATGCAGGGTCGAACGAGATTCGGACTAGCGAAGACCTTCGAGGATGGATTCGCAACCGACAAACGATTCGGCTTCGGAGGCTAACGGCACAACAATCGCAGCCTGCAGAGAGAGCGCTGTGTGCGTGGGGTCAACTGGAGCAATGGGGCAAAGCAGAAAGTGAACTATTACAAGAGAAAGAGGCCGAAAACCAGCCTGACGCTGCAGATTCAACGTGGCTGGCTGATGTTCACTCAAAGCTAGCAATCACTGAAGGCGTGGTTCCCTTAGCATTGCCGTATGACCCACCACTGTCCAAGAAGAAGCGATACGACGAAGAAGATGCGCTGGAGGATGTCCCGGTAGCAATGTTTCTCGTCGAGTTTTCGCTGAATCCGAGGCGGACCGTGTGGATTAATCATTCGCTGTACGTCTTGCTACTTGAAATGGAAGGTCGGATTCGATGCTGACTGTGTATAAAATGCGTGTTTATTGTGCAGCGCCGAGCGATTCTGGGAGTGGAAGAGGCTCAAGCTGCTGGATCGCAGTGAGCGAGTGGCACGACGGCAGCGAGCGAAGGACTTCGAGAAGCAACAAAAAGAGGCTGAGGCGAAGCAAAAGCATGAAGAGGACGTGAAACGTGAGGAGAAGGCCACTAATGCTATCGACATCCAAGCTCCTGCTGCGAGTTTTGGAGCTTATGAAGGCGTGGAGCAAACATCAAGAATTACTAGTACTGCCTTAGAGCACACATGGCCAGCTCCGACTGAAACATGGACGACAAATGAGACCCCAATGGATCCATACTACAACTACAGCTACAGCTACTATCCTGCAGCCAACGCAGCCGAGACTTCTTCAGAGTGGACGGAGTACGATGGGTACTCAACAACATATCCGACGAACTACGATTATGGATATGGTTCAACCACGATAGAACCGTCGCCTGCAGTGGACGAAGTAGTAACTGGTCTAGTTGATAGCGCGAAGTACTATGCGACCGGAGACTACGCTGGTATCATTAACGACTCCGGCGCTTTAAATTGGTACGGGGCCGACTATAGCACATTTGACTCGTCAGAGTACAATCAAGTTGTAGTTGTCGGCTACAACTATATAGCCTACGACTCTGCCACGGGGTCCGTCGATCCCAGCTACGATTCAACCAACCAATGGCAACAAAACTATTCTCCTCAAGCCCAAGCGCCAGATCAGGCTCTCGATAGCTACCCGGGGGCAGGAAGCAGCTTGCCATACGACGTCAATGGCTCCGACTACAGCATGGAGTTGTCCCCAGCAGATGGCTACACCGACGCATACACCTCCAGCGTGGACGATCACTCATACTCCAATCCACAGTCCACCACCGGCCAATGGGAAGAGGTGTACGACCCAACCACGCAGCAGACGTACTATGTCAACCGGGTGACCAACGAGATGGCGTGGCAGATCCCATCCTAACGCTGTGCAAAAAGGCAAGCTGAGATGAGCATGGCTACAGTCATTCTTTCCGTCACAAAAGCGAGTTGCTACGAGGGTCGTGATAATGTCACTAACGTGAAAAATATATTACTGACGTCCCAGACGTCATAGGCCAACCGATTCCAGCCATTGTCACTTGGATTCATTAGCAGCACCAGCTACTATGGCCCGCAAGAGCAGTGGAGCACGCAAAGGCCGCGCCGTAAGTGCGTTGGTGCGCGCCGAAGATGCCGCCGAGGAAGAAATCCTAGAGACGCCGGCGCTAAGCTCGGCAGCTGCAGCCGTCGCCGAAGCTTCCAGCGACGAAGAGAGTGAGGACGAGGACGCCGAGGCTGAGTTTGAGCGCCGTCTCGTGGCTGAAGCGCAGGCCGAAGCGGAGGGCGCCAAGCGTGAGAGCAAGGGCGTATACAATAGGGAGGCACTGCTAGCTCTGGTGAAGGACTGGGACGCCAAGCCGCTGCCGTGGGTAGAGACACTAGACACGTGCGCTGTGTCACTCGAACTGGAAAGCGTACACGACGATCTAAAGCGTGAGGTGGCTTTCTACAACAACACACTGGCTGGTGTACGTCTTGCAAAGGAGCGACTTAAGAAAGAGGGCGTGGCTTACAAGCGACCGGACGACTACTTCGCTGAGATGCTCAAGAGCGACGCGCACATGGCTAAGGTCAAGGATAAACTCATTTACGAGCAGAAAAAGATCACAGCTGTGGAAGAACGCAAGAAATCACAGGCCCACCGCAAGGTGGCGAAGGAGATTCAAGCCGAGAAGATCAAGGAGCGCAACCAGCAGAAGAAAGACACGCTGGAGGCTGTCAAGCAGTGGAAGAAACGTAAAGGAAACGACAAGCGCGGCGGCCTTAAGGACGACGATGACACTGAGCTGGACTCGATTGTCAGCGGCAAGCGAAAGCATGCAGGTGGTGACCGTGACGGCTCTAGCAAGAAGCCCCGCTTTAATAAGGCACGCGAAGCAAAGAACGCTAAGTTTGGCTTTGGAGGCAAGCGTCGCCACGCTAAGAGTAACACTAAGGAGAGCACGAACGACATGTCATCTTTCCCTGGTGCACGTAAGGCCAAGATGAAGAGTCAGGCCGCAGCCAAGGGCGGCAAGCGTGCTGGCAAGGCCCAACGCGCCAACCAACGCAACCAGAGCAGGCGGTAGATGGATTGATTGGCGGCTAGGTAGGCTACTGCTGGGCAAGGCCTCCCGGCTCGCTTCTAGATGATAACAGAGCTTTTTGGTATTTTAGAAACACCGATTTGTGTTTTCGTTGTCGTTATTTTTGTACTGACAAGTGCAATATTTACGTGTAGAAGTCTCTTCACTGTATGCTGACAACTGCGACTAATTCTACGGACAAGTGCTGCCTGTCACTGGATACTTTTCGTCCGACTGCACAAGTGGATCCTCTAAAAAGGAATGTTGTTCTGCTGCATAAAGGCAAACAGCATTTGCCGCTCGTTAGGTGGAAGCATATCCAGTTTCTGTGGCGTCATATCACGCGCAAGTTCGGCGATGGCATCGAATTGTCCAGGTGGGGCACCGTCGCTGGGCTTAATGCGCTTGGATGGGTCACTGTCTCCAGGTGTCGGGATCAGTCCTGGCTGCTCGCCAGGGTACGGTCTCTTAGCCAACCGCGGGTCTCTTCCAGCGCGTCGAGGGTCACGATTCGCATGGGCCAAGTTGCTACTGGGAGGGCCATTAGACTGAGGAGGGCCTGGAGGTGTAGGCATTAAGCCTGGCTGCGGTTGTGCGTGCATTGGACTCGTAGAAGGGATCGCAACCCCAGGTCGATTAGCCATCGCAGCACTTGCTCCCTGGGTAGCCAGAGGTCCGGGTCGTGCACTCCAACGCGTACCACCAGCCTTGGTTGGTGCTTGAGCAGGATGGGGGGCCAACATCGTGGGTTGGACACCGGGAGGCGCCATGCCCAGAATGCCAGGCCCAGGACCCATTGGCCCACCCATCGGTGGACGTGGAGGAGGTGGCATCATCCTTGCAGCCATTATTGGCGGTTGATGCATCATGGAAGGGGGGGCCAGCAGCACCGGCTGAGTCTCCGAGGAAGAAGGAATGGGGATCTGAAGTGTCTTGAAACTCTGTACGATAGCGTGAGTGAGAGCTGGATTGGCCATCAAGATGCTCTTCGTCACGTCCGGCTTTTGTCTTGCGTGTTCTTTCAGCTGCACTAGCATATCGTAGAGTTTGACTGGCCCCATCCGAGCGATTGCCGACTCAATGGAATGGATCGCCATCTCACCCGTCACCATTGTAGGCCTCCCCCCATCGGCTCCATTTCTAAAATTCCCTCCGCTAGATCCAGGACGGGTGTTGCCACCATTGTCGTGTCGTTTCCTCTCTGCACTGTTGGACTTATCCCCACCGTCGGCAAAGTCCACACGGAGGTTCCGGCCGTTGATCTCGTAGCCGTTGAGGTTGCGCATAGCACTCAGTGCCGTCGCTCCGTCTGCATATTCACAGAAGCCGTAGCCTTTGGGCTTGCCGGTCTCTCGGTCCGTCACGAGACTGCCATGACAATAAAAAACACCCACACAGTCAGCTCGAGGTTCGCGTTCACGACGTTCCCAGTTATTTTTGTGGACGTTATGAGCTCCCAACGCACCGGAAATTCATGACCGATCCGGCCTCTGAGAAGATTTCCTTAAGCATATCCTCCGTCACATCGTACGGGATGTTTCCGACTGAATTTTTTTTAATAACAGCATCGAAAAGAGCGTGGACACGTTAGAGGCGACTGGAGGGGCGTTAAGAGGTGGAATAGCAGCGGATATCAGCTGAATCCACAGGTGGAGGAGATGGTACACGTTGCACTCAGTCTGGAGACGTACCGAAGACGCTGCGCTCCTTGGCAGAGCTCGCGCGTGTCTTGTTGCTCATGGCGCGAAACTTTACGGGAGCTCTTCAAGTGTATGCCACTAAACCGATTGTGTGATTTTCTGACATTACTAATGTGGACCACAACTCAAAGAGGAAATGATTTAGCCCGTTCTTCGCCAAAATTAGTATTGTGAATTTTCGCACAAACTTGAATATTCAGAGCGGTATAGCAAAACCTTTCAAAGTCTCCACATACCAAATCAAATCGCGCCTCTAGGTAATTGTGACTCAGCCAAGAATCGTACTTAGAAAGGCTCTATAGTCAAAGAAGTGCTTCGCGCCATTGGCGGAGATTTGGCTCACCAGAGATTGAACCAATCACGCAATGCAATTTGGCGTAGAGCGCACAATACAGTACTTGATACTGTAACAGCTTTAGTGAAACGTCCTTTTATGTGGCTGAGAATGTTTTTATTTGGACAGCTGGGTGGATCGAGCCTTGAGGAGGGATGGTTGAGACCGTGCAAGCGTATGCTATTTGTATCTCTTTTGTTAGCTTCTACAAAAGACATTTCAATTCATTCCAAAAATGAAACTTGCTCGCTCCAGCCATGAGCTCGCTGGGTACCCTCGCTATGCTCACCAGACTTCGATAGCAGAAACGACCTCGAATCGCGTTGGCATTGCTTTTGGTCCTGCTTCGACGTGATGCCCAGCTCACTTGTGCTTTCACCAACCATTGAAGACGCCAGCCGTTCTCATTCTGCAGAACTTTGCTCCCTGCACATTATTGTTTTCTTCGATCTACATGCGTACTAGAAGTGGAGGGCAGTCTGCTGACAGCTCTTAGGTTATGAGCCCGACGAGGAAGTCCTGTGCAACAATCATTCTGTACAGACTCCGCCACCTTCACCAAGTACTGCGCAGCTTGCACGCGTTGAGCATCGCCTTGATAGTATACTAACTAATTCTGAATCGATTGCGACTGTTTTAGTGGATCAAACTGGAGCCGTGAGCATGGTGACGACCACACCGGCCCCCAGAGAAGCGTCACCCAAGCATTTACCGCAACTAGCCGCTCCCAGCGAGGTATTTTCGTCTCGACACCGTACGGACTTCACCGTGAGAGCTGTGTCGTTGAAGTGCGTACGCTGGCGAGCGGCCAGTACACCGTACGCGCTACTTATTGTACTCGTCATTGAGCGTTGGACCAGATTATTTTAACATACCATTTGAATTGGCGAAACTCCTCGAGTTGACACCAAAAGAAAACAAGGAGCCTATGTAAATGTTCCTTAGCATTTCGTGCATGTAGTGAGCTATTTACGTCCTACTAACATGTCCGAGCCAAGCACATCGCAGCAAGAGCTGACGCCAGGCCAGAAGGATTACGAAGTACGGTGCTTTGACTTCATGTCCAAATCTAAGGAAGATGGCCTCTTCCGAGGGCAGCGAACCCAGGACCTGGTTGCGGAGTGTCTACAGATAGCACACGGCACTGTTACGACTGTGACGATCACCTCCAGAGCCGACAATGAGACCAACTTTGAGGTGCACATCAGCAATTTAGCGGTGCATGTTGTGAAGGTAGAGCCTACTCAATGCGGAAGGAAGCGTGAATACGACCCAGCAAAGCGGAAGATAGGTGCCTGTTTAAATAAATATTTGGTTTTTCCTTGCACTCAAATAGTTACAATCATAATTGGATTTGCTGCTGTTCAGTTGCGTACTTTCTTGTACTTTCTTGCGCAAATCCATGTGGTTTTGGGAATTGCCTATTAAAATGACCGCCTCAAAGGCAACGAGAACCACTTAAAACAATGAACAGTGTGTAATGTAGTGGGCCACGCCATTACATAAGTAGGTAGATTTATATTACAAAAGTAGGTGCAGCAGCACACGGCTAGCGTGTGCTGAACTGCCGTCATCCTATTGGTTGATATATAAGGAGCCAGACCCATTATCAGCCAATAAGGGTTTGACGTGTATTTGAGTGGTCAGGGCAAGCTGCCCTGGACCTAAAAAAAAACAGAGTTGATTTTCCTTCAGACTAAGCACTTGGTTTCACTATCGCGGAACTTGCACGCTTCCTCATTATTACGTGTAAGCTAGTAACGGACACTCTAGGCCCGTTACACCTGGTAGCACTTTGTAGTCCTTCCCATGACCAAGTTCACAATGAGCCAAGGCCAGACGTCTGAAGCTTCAGGGCCAACCCTGGAGCATGCTGCTTTCCCTCATCTCACTCGTGTCGAGTGGGAAGCCTTTCACCGCCTTGCGGCGGTGTCCGGTGAGGCTGTTGTCGCGTCGCTGCTGAGCTCAGCGACTCCCGATCAACAACGTCAAGCAGCTCAAGAGTTCATGGAACGCGAGCTCGCCGACGCGAATCGGCGAGCGACAACTCCCTCGCGTTCCTCGAGGAATGACATCGTCAAGTTGGAAACGTCGACCTACTCCGGTGAAGGAGCGAATCGCCTTCCGTTGAATCGCTGGTTTCGCGAAGTCGACATCGCTATCGCCTCGAGGATGATCGAGGCGCAAGGAGCGAAAGTTAACTTCTTACTTTCCCGACTGGCCGGGAAAGCCAAGGAGTGGGCACTCGGCAAACTGGTCGTAAACAACGATGCGCTCTCCACCCTGGAGGCCCTCCAGAGTGATCTTCGTCTCGCCTTCGAGCCTCCACAAGACGAGTCCCGAGTGCGCGCAGAGTTCTTCGCTCTGCGACAAGGCAAGATGACCATGCGCGACTACGTCCAGAAGACACGCCACCTCGCGTCCTGCATCGTCACCAATCCGATTGACATGGCATCTCAAGTCCACGTCTTCGTGTTCGGCATGCGTGAAGGCATGACGCGATACTGTCTGACTCGAGCGGAACCCTCCTCACTCGAGGAGGCATTTGCTCTCGCACTTCGTGAAGACTACGTGGTGGCGGCGTCGTACGCGCGGGCAATGTCCGCGGGAGCTCAAGAGTCAGCTCCGGAGCCGATGGAGATCGACGCGATTGACGCGTCGAACAACCGCCGTCGTGCAGTCCCTCGTGCGAATGGTGGTCGTCCCAGTCGATCCCTCACTTGCTTCCGCCGTCGGAAGGTTGGACATCGCGCGACTGAGTGCCGCGCGCCCGCGCCAGTGCTCACGCATACTGTCGATGCCTCTCCTACCGATCAGCCAAAAAACGGTCAGGGCCAGTAGGTGCGGGGCGCCCTACTGGCTGGAATGGAGGTCCGGGTCCCCCGGTGGCAACCCAACCTTCTAGCCCTCGCGTGCTACACGCACACTTCAATGCCACCACAGCGTCGGGCGACTCAAGACTGATCATCATCAGCCTCCATGTCGCCGGCGCCCGACGTCCACTACGCGCGCTTGTGGACTCAGGAGCGACAAACAACTTCTTCCGTGAGTCGTGTTTGGTCGACGCTACCCAAGCAGAAGTTCGCTTGTCCGTCAACCGGTCGCCGGACCAGGGTTGTAAGTCAAAGCTTGGCTGAACGGAAAGACCGGCGCCCACGTCGCCGCGGCGCGCAGGAATTAACGTTTGCCCGTACACATTTTCGAACCGGCTTTTCCGCAGCAAATGAGCGACCTTCCATCGTGAATTGAGAAATGAAACTAACCGCATTCGATTGCATCCTGGGCAATCCGTGGTTGTCACGGTATCAACCAGAGATTGACTGGTTGGCCCGCTCGGTTAAACACCGCAGCGGTTTCGACGTGAGCGAGGTGTTCACCCACCTCCTGGTTGCCCAGAAGGACTGGCCCCCCGTCACCGTCGTGGACCGGTCGTCCACGACGCAGGCTTGACACAGAGTGAGCGATGGCCCTCTCTGCACGGCTTGCGCAGTGCTGTTGCACGAAGACTCCTCGCCACGAGGCGAGGGCAAGAAAACGATGGCGGTCGAGCAGGGGCTCCCGCAATACGAGCAAGCGGTCGAGCATGGGTTCTCGCAGCGCACAACTGCGGTCGAGCATGGGTTCCCGCGGCGCACCACAGCGGTCGAGCATGAGTTCCCGCAGCACAATATGGCGGTCGAGCATGAGTTCCCGCACCACAATATGGCGGTCGAGCATGGGCTCCCGCAATGCAACACGGCGGTCGAGCAGTCGAGGCTCCCGTCACCCGAGCCGGTGGTCGAGCAGTTGGAGCTCCCGCCGAACGACCACGCGGTCAAAGCAGGGGCCCCGCGTGTGACCGCACAGTCGAGAGTGAGCTTCAGTGCCTAGAGCGGGGTGATACATCGTCCAGCGAGAGCGATTCTTCCTGGCGCGGGCAAAGAAGTCGAAGCGCCGTCATTTGAAGCCACGACGTGAAACTGCACCGAACGGCATCTCACAGACGGAGTCGGTCTGTGTTATTGAGCACGTGGACGACGGCATGGGCCGTCAGCGCACCGTCGATCTTGTGTGTCCACCTCGCGACGCTCAATCGATCACCCGGCTTCCAGGTCTCTCCTGGAAGAACTTCCTTCGTGGTCTCAAGGTTGGTGAGGTTGAGCAGGTCTGCCTGATCACAGACACTTCGTCTACGCCACTCGAAGGGAACACCGTCAGTGATGACGACGGATCCACCCGTCCCAAGAGCGCCGAACCGAAGTCCGCTCGCGAGGAGCGATTCGCAGCGCAGTCCTGGGAGTCCTTGCGCGAGTCTGGGAATCCAGTGTACGAGACCGTCCGCGAATACGCGGACGTCTTTCCCGATAAGATTCCAGCAGAACTGCCTGCCGATCGAGGCGTCCGCCACGGGATCGATCTCGCGCCCGGTTCGAAGTACTGTGTGACGCGGCAGTGGCCGCTGCCGCGAGACCAAGTCAAGGCCATCGACGACTTCTTCGAGAATCGCCGTAAAGCGGGTCACGTGCGTGAGAGTGTCTCTCCACATTCGAGCCCAACGTTCTGTGTGAAGAAGGCCACAGGAGGGTGGCGCATCGTTCATGCCTTTAACAAGTTGAAAAATGCGCCCATCCCCGCGCAAACCCCAATTCCCCGGAAGGACATGGTGCTCGACACCATGGTGGGCAGTGTCGTCTTCAGCGCCATCGACTTGACCGATGGATTCTATC